ATAGATTTTGGAGTCCCATTAAAACTTTTGGTCAGCAGTCTGATCATATCATCTCTGTTGAAACCAGCATAAAGCAGGCTTCAATTTTGCCTAACTTTTATCCAGAAGCTCTATATCGGTCTGCACTTGTAAGCACTGATAGTCAACCTGATTTGACATATTTGATGGATGTGGATCCCAATAGAAACTACTCAATATGGTTTCACTTTGCTGAGATTGATGCTTCAATCAAAAATGTTGGACAAAGAATTTTTAACATCTTGATAAATGGCAACGTTGAATTCGAAGATGTGGATATTTTGAAACTTAGTGGTGGTCACTATACTGCTCTTGTGCTTAACACTACTGTTGCTGTCAATGGGAGGACTTTGACAATCACCTTTCAGCCTAGAGAAGGTAGTCATGCCATAATCAATGCCATTGAGGTGTTTGAAATTGTTTCAGCTGAAGTAAAAACATCCCCAGATGAAGGTAGGCGTAGATAATACTGTATTTCAGTCTTTAAATTCTGGAGACATATTTCTGACTGATTTTTTTCACATTATTGTAGTTAGAGCTTTGCGGAGCTTGAAGAAGGCATTAGCACTTCCTGTTCGTTTCGGGTGGAATGGTGATCCATGTGTTCCTCAACAACATCCTTGGAGTGGAGCAGACTGCCAATATGATAGAGCTGGAAACAAATGGGTCATCGATGGACTGTACTTTCCTTGTCTTCTTGTTCCTTAAGAATATGAAAATTTTATAGTTATCTGAGATGATATCATGCAATCATATGGCATTGTGTTCAATCAATTTGTTTACAAGCATTAACTTCTACTTTGCATGGCCAGGGGTCTGGACAACCAAGGTCTGATGGGATTCTTGCCAAATGAAACATCTCACCTGCGTCATCTACAGAGCATGTAAGTTATTGTTTGAAGCACTTTCGCTTTTGTAGTAAATAGTGAGAAAATTTTGTATTGGTCTTTTGATTGATTTTGATTGCTAATGGGCCTGTTGATTGGTTCATACACTAATCCGTTCATGTATGTTTTTCCAGAAACTTAAGTGGAAACAGCATTCACGGGCCCATTCCAGCCTCACTCGGAGCAATAACCAAGTTAGAAGTTTTGTGAGTGTTGCCTATAAACTTCTCTTGATTTTTTTTTTTTTTTTTTTTTTTTTTT